CCCCAAAACCCCAAAACCCCAAAACCCCAAAACCCCGTTCCGCACCAAATCATTAATTAATAAAAGTAAACCAATGTCTGATTTCAAAAGAGGGATCTTATGTGTCTCTGCAGGAGTCATTCTGAACTTGTTCCTTGGCTGATTCTACCTCTGGGGAAACATTTCCGTCTATGTGACTTCATACTTCTACATGCATGATAGAGAGATCACACTTGATGATACTTCACTTATTTTTCCCATACAGATGGTCGGAATGATCTTGTTTGTACCTGTGGCTCCATTCGCTCTGAAAGTATTGCCTCCGTGGCTTTGATGTTTGATAGGATCTTGTATTGCTATTGGGGCAGCAATCATAGCTTCATTCACAACAAACTTCATTATTTTCATGGTGCTCTATGGGTTCTTCTTTGGTCTTGGATGCGGAATCGCTTATTTAGCACCAATTATTACAAGTTGGGATTATTTCCCTGAACGAAAGGGACTTGTGAGTGGGATCATCCTTGCAGGATATGGGTTAGGCCCATTTATCTTTGGATATATTTCATCTGCTATTGCAAATCCAGAGAATGAATCCCCGACACATGCAGTTGAAGGGGGTGTCATCTTCTCTCCAGATCATCAGATCTCAACCAGAGCTCCTCAAATGATCAGAGTAAATGCTCTTGCATGGTTGGGCTTGATAATTATTAGCTCACCATTTATTCGGAAAAGAAAAGCTCAAAATAAAGAAGAACAAATCATTGCTGAAGATAGACAAGAACTAGTTTCAAGTGCTTACGAAACAAATAGAGAAGGCAATGAAGATAATTTCACTTCTCCTGTTGCTGCTGATATGCAACCAGAGGTTATTGAAAACAAAAAGTTCAAGGCAGCCATGTTTTCCTTGACTTCTCTTCAAATTTTTATCATGATGGCTCTCACAGGCTTCTATCCCAACTTCTTAGCAATCAACTTCAAGTCTTATGGGCAAGTCAAGATCAGCAGTGACATCTTCATGACAACCGTTGGCGCAGTGGCATCTGTCACAAATGGGTTCACTCGGATAGGCTGGGCAACACTCTTCGACAAGTTTGGTTTCAAGTACGTGTACATTGGGCTGCTTCTTGTGCAGTCAGCAAATGCATTTACGATTCAGCTGATCAGAGGAGTCCCTATTCTGTATCTGATTTGGGTGTCAACAGGATTCTTATGTTTGGCAGGATTGGTCACTTTGTTTCCTCCATTACTAGCAAAAGTATTTGGTCCAAAAACTGGAAGCAGAGTATACAGCTTTTTGTTCTCGAGTCTGGCAGTGGCAGCTATCGGATGATTCTTCCTTAACATGCTTTCTTCAAAGGGGAAGATATCACAAGAAGTATTGTTTTACATATTTGGAGGTTTGACCGTTGTTGCTTTGGTAATAGCGATATTTTTCAAAGAAGTGAGAGTAAGACTCAAAGAAGATCCGAACAAATTAGAAGAAGAGACAAGAAGATTCAGCGGTAAATTCATTGCTAAATCCTATAGTCTTCGATTATACTCAGACCTTCTAAACTCATGAGTCTTTCCAATTAATCAAATACTAACATTTTATCCCAAATTGTTCATCTTTAATTTCTCACTCATCTATTGCCATACAAATCTGGTAACAATGTATTATAACTTCCTATTTCTGACGTAGAAATATGCTAAATTTCTTCTTACAGATTTCTGAGGGATAATGAATAAACTATAGCGGAAAGTCCTTCACTCATTGGTCGGCCTAACCCTTTGCTCTCTAGCTGGCTTATAACACCTCTGTGTTTCAGCTCCAAGAATTTTAAGTCTTGTGGGATATTTCTAAGTGTTTATAACCAATTTATTTACTTTCATTTCTAAATCACAAATAAGGGGTTTTGGGGTTTTGGGGTTTTGGGG